GGGTTAAATATGTTTTTAGTCCCTAAACTATTGGCCGTTTCTGGTTTTCGTCCCTCTTCCAAAGTAAGGTACAATTTGGTCCTCATTCTTTAGAAAAACGTTCGTTTTAGTCCTCAAAATTTTGTTTTTAGTCCTCGTTTTAGTCCTCAAAACATTCGTTTTTTCGACTAAAACGAACGTTTTTTAAAGATTGAGGACTAAATTGTACCTTACTTTGGAAGAGGGACGAAAACCAGAAACGGTCAATAGTTTAGGGACTAAAAACATATTTAACCCTTAAACTTTTTTAGTTTCCAACAAAACTTAAAATCTTGCATTACTTCAATTAAAAAAAATTAAAAATTATCTTTACCATCCAATGCACAAAGTAATTTTAAAAAATAACTTTTAAAAGTCATGTTCTAACACACTACTTGTTATTTTAATAATTTATAAATCTACCTATTGTCTTGATTTCTTTAAGTAATTGAAGCAAATGGTTAAAATCCTTTAAGGAGAGTAGCGTAACATTCAGGTAATAACAATGACAAGTAATAAACTAAAGATAAAACATTTATACTATCAGTTTGAACTTTTAAGGTATCAAAAATACAGAAACAAATAAACTAGAGATGCTTCTATCTCCAAAAGAATTCTTGAACTGAGGTCTGGCAGTGAAGAAGAAGCATGAGCATGACCAAAATCCCTCCCAAACCCCAGGAAGAGCTTCCAACTCTGAACACCCATGAAGGCTCAGGAGATGGTAGAAAGGAAGCTCTTGCAGTTGATGATGATGATGACGATGACACAGAAGAAGAGGTTGTTCTGATGGCAATTATGAGACCAGCAAGAAACATAGGCAGAACAAAACCAGCAGAGCTCCATTTTGACTCATAGTACTTTCTGTCACTCCTTGAATTCCCATACAAGGGAGACAACACCACTGCTGAGACCAAAGCCAACACCATGGCCAATGATCTTTGTGATGATGATGACGAAGAAGAAGCATAGGTGGTGGTGGTGTTGGCCATAACTTGAAGCTGAAGCAAAGAGTGAGTTTGTTTTTGTGAATGATGAAAATTTGAGGTTATGAATATATAGTGGGAGGAAAAGGTGATCAGGCTAAGGAATTAATAATGTATGTGAGATTGAATGATGGAGAAAGAGCCGGCCAAAAAGTGAGGAGGATTAAAGAATTTGACACAAAAGAAAAAAGAAAATATAAAGGTGAAAAGGATGGTAGAAAAAGGAGATTCAGCTTATGGAAGTAAGGTATTTTTCTTAGCTTTTTGTTTGTGTTCACATTCTTCTGTGTTGTTGAGGAAGAAAGTATAGCTGTAAGCCATGTTTTATAGATTGGAGATGGAGAGTAACTGTAATCAAAGTGGCATGCACAACATAATTTGCAAGAACAATTTAATATAGAGTAGTTGGTTTAAACAGTTTAATTGAACTTGTTTTTCTTTTATTATATACCTTGGTTTTACATTTCAATATTCATTTTACTGAGTACAATTAATAATGTGAGATGTTTGTGAATTAAGTTATAAATTGTACTAAAAACTAAAAAAGAAATGTTTATAACAAATTTTATTTAGTAAGTCTTTGTTCGTTTAATGGATATAACAGAAACTGATTGAATGAATTTAATGTTAAATTTTTGTTGTTGTTTATTTGTGTGGATTTGGAATTAAGTGAGAGTAAATCTAGGAATAAACTTTTTTAATCTATCACATCAACTCAATCCTACACTAATTCTTACTAACTTTATTTCCAAATCAATTCTCACTTACCTCTAAATCCACTCAAATAAAAGACAAAAATTTTTACTTTCAAATCTTTTTAAATCTATTTAATCACTTTCTTCCAAATTCAAGTAATATCTAAAATTTAAAATAAAACAAAATTAACATATGATCGTAAAGAACTCTACTGTTATTTTATTTCATTAAATATGCATTGATACTTTTAATTTTCTTTTAGAAGCTGAAGGACGAAGTGGATTTAGCGATATTGCAGAAAACGTAAGAGTGTGTGTTGGTGTGAGGGATGAATGATCGATGTCCCATCAGGAGCAAGCCTTAGTGTCCCTTCTCTCCCAAATCGCCCTTTCCTTCGACGGCGCCGTTTTGGGCTTCGCCTTGGCCTACGCCGCTATTCGCACCCTCTTCAAATTCTCCGCCACCTCTGCCGCCCTCCGCAAGCTCCGCCGCGCACCTTCCTTATCTGTATCCGACCTCCGATCACTCCTCGCCGATACTCCCTCTGATGCTGACTCGACCTCTGACGGTGGTACAATCGTAATTGTTCGCGGCACCGTTAATGCCAAGTCTGCCGTCGACGGTTCCTGGAAAACTCTCAGACCGGGCGTCTTGGTCTCTCGAGAGTCCGGTGACAAAGGCGTCATCCTTCAAAGAACTCAAACGGTATTCTCTTTTTTTCTTGCTCGAATTTATTGAGATTAATGTGTTATTGAGAAGAGGGATTTGCATATTTCTTGAAAATTCGCTGTCGTGGAGGGTTTTATTCGAAACTTTGGGTGTATGTCAAGTGGTTAGTAGTGTTTTTAGAACAGTGGTCGACCTGTAATTTTGTATGCTTTAATTTAGGAAGCGAAAAGTTGAAATTCTGGTGTACTGTCAGTTTACACTTGATTCAGAACAAAAATACGTAAAGGTGGAAAATAAAAAGGAACTTAGTTTGTTTGTACCTTCAAAGTGGGTTGGTTGAATGCCAGTCCAACATTTTCTTTCTTCAACTATCAGTTGCACACTATTAGAGAATGTGTTCATAAAGAACTAGAATGAACCAAATTAGAATTCAATTGAGTGGAGTTAGACTTAAAGTCCACTTTGGTGGAGTGTGTTGTTCTTTCTAAGTTCTTTTCATGCATATATGTTTAGGAGATAGTCTTTTATTATACCCTCCATCTTGAGAAGGATTTGTCCTCAAATTGATACCACTTGAAGATTTCTTATCAAATTGTAAAATGGACCATGCAACTAAATTGAACTGACTTTGCTTCGCTCTGACTGCTTTGAACCGAATTGTCTTAGATCAATAAACTGATTTTGAAAAATGAAGTTTAAAGTTAGATAGCAATGCATAGAAGTTTTCTTTTATATTAATTATTTTCTCAATAATCACGCAAAATACCCAATGCATATATAGTGGTTATTAATATTACACCATCCATTATAAAAGTGTTTGTATGTCTGCAGAAATGACTAGATAATTGGGAGTTTAAAACATCCTATATTAGTTAGTAGAGTTTACCATCTCCTATAATATGAAATGAAGAGACAAGAACTTTTCCTAAAAGTATTCATCTTCCGTATTACAGAATTACTAGTTAATCAGTAACCAAAAAAAGCTATTGAATCAAATGGTTTGTAGTTTAAAAATAAATGGGTACAACGATATTGCATATATCCACATAAAGATAGATTTAATACAGAAACACGACAAAATAAGTGGGAGAACCAAATAAAAAGTGGTTAATTCATTTGAGCATATTTGTTTATTTTTCTTTACATGAAATTACACATCATAAGTTGGACACCAAGTCATGAACGAGGGTACTTTACAAAAATCAGAGGAAATCCTTTGAAACCAATAACATAAACTACTTTCTTCTAGCACTGAACTTTTTTCTATAACGGTACTCTTCAGTATTAAAACTGATTTTGAAAGAGTTTAGAATCAATTTATTTTAAAACAGTTTAGTTATTTTGAAGTTAATTTAGTTCGGTTGTTAAAGTTAGTTTAGATTAGTTACTTTTGGACAATCTTACATTTTGGATTGGCAATCGGCAAAAAAAAAAGGATTTATCAAGCACATCATCAATTGTGTGCTACTTTTTGGAAACGTGAGTCCATCTCTCTTAGTTTGTTGGTGTTAGAATGGCTCAATGACTTTTCAAACACACAATTACTTTGATGGATAGTGTACTTTGATGTTTTGGCCATAAGATGTTATTTGATATTAAGTATTGACATGCCTCTTCTTGTTCTCGATTAACTTATATGAACAACTTTTATGTCTTAAAGGAGTAGTATCTTTTTCGTTGTTGTAGAAAATATAAGTTTAATATCTGTTTTAATGTCTTGCAACTTAGTTATTTCTGAATTAGAGGTCTAATTTATTTATTTTGTGTTGATCATAATGAAGTGTATATACAATGAATGGAAAGGATTATTTGGATGGACTTCTGATCTTCGGGCCTTATTTGCAAGATCTTGGAGACAGCAAGAGTCTACATCTTTAAGGAAGGTAATGGGTGCATAACTTTGTTACATATTGAGGTTCATAATGTATAAAGAGAATTCTGGTATGATATGGTCAATTGATTTGTATTTCATGAGGTTAAATCATATATAATTGAGTAGGTTTGACAATAACTCTCTAGCTTATGTGGTAAATATATCCTAGTAGATTATTTTATATCCATAATCAATTAGTGGTTTTATTTTATTTTTTTAATAATATATAGTACAATCTCTTGCTGCAAAACGATTGTGCACCATGTAGATGCTTCAGTTGATCTTGGCCTAGGTTAGTAAAAACAGCTCAGCATTTCAAACAGGATGCACTTTCAGTTGCAATGACTAGAACACAAGCTAATTAATAGACTTGAGATTGAAAGTATAAAATAATTCTTGAGGGCTTAATTGAACCCTCTCATAATCTTCTATTTATAAAAATAAATTAATACAAAATACATGATAAAAAGGGTAACTCTAAACACAATATAATCATGATAAATAAAGAATATAATCATGATAAATAGGGTAATTCTAGACACAATATAATCATGATAAATAGGGTAACTCTAGACACAATATAATGATGATAAATAAGGTAACTCTAGACACAATATAATCATGATAATTAGGGTAAATATTCTAACACTCCCCCTCAAGCTGGAGCATACAAATTGTATGTAATGTACCAAGCTTGGAATAAATAAACTCACTCCAACAAAATGAACTTGTCTCGAATGTCGAGACAATAGACATGGTAACTTTGGCTTCGAACAAGATGCACATATGCTTCAGACCATCAAGAGAATGTCTATAAACAAAAATGGACTCACAAACCAGCATAACCAAAGAGACTCCTCATAAGCTTATGGAGAATAATATTGGACAACTACGAAACTTCATCTAGCA